GCTAGCTAGTGTTAGTTTAGCTTCGGCTCGTGTTACTTAAAGATTAACCCCACAGCTTTAAAAACCTCATATAAAAATCCTTCCGTGAAATTTATTGATTGTTTGAAATAGAAAAGTCAGCAGCTACTTGATAAGAGGGCAGACAAAGCTTTTCGGAAGGTGCAGCTGTTAGGGCTGGGGGCTTTTTTTTTCAAGCCATATGAACTTTTATAACATATGAACTTTATATTCTTAACTCCTGTATTATTTTAATGCTTTGTGGGTGCTTTTGAACATCTGTGGTACCTATTAATGTCAAATCTAGCCTTTCTTTAGCAACAGAAGCATACTGTTTTTACATTCAACAAATATTTCTGTTTAATTGCATTTTAACCAACAACAATAATAATAATAATAATAGTATTTGTTTTGTTAAAAATGTGTTTCGATACAAGTTTTGTTGTGAAAGTCCAAAGCCATAAATCAGATCAATGGCCTGTTAATTGGTTAAAGTCTAAATTGGCTTTATAGTTGAAAATAAAGTAATTTAGCTCATCCTTCCAAACAAATAATTGAATTCCACAGTTGAAACATTTTGCTGTTGCCTTTGTGCCTATAAACACTGCCATATGTTTGGTCATTGTGCTTATTAGAAACGTTATATATTAGAAGTTAGCTTTTGACAAGGATGTAATGATTATATTTAAATTAGATGTTCTTTTTTTAAAACACATATGTCTTTAGGTCTAAACAGTGGCAATACCGCAGACACAGTAGTTGATGGTGTTTTTAATATTATATGTGATTGTCTAATTTGGATGTATGAGGTCTGCATTGACCTTCTGTGTTGTAAATTAAAACGGCTGCACAGCCATTAAGGATTAAATCAGCTTCTAAATAATTTTATGGTTTTTCTCCTTCTGCTTGCTTCTTACTGTCTTGGAGGGTCGGGACCAGCACTCCCCACATTACATCAAACTCTTACAAGTCTAGAAAAGGAGCTGTTGAACAGAAAGACATCAACTGAGTGGTAAAAATGTTGGTTTTCCAAAATATTCGTAATCGTCAGTGACATTTATATTAATCAGGCTGAACTTTAGTCATACTTTAGATCAGTGGTTCTCAAACTTTTTACATCATTCCCCACATGGCAGGAAGAAATGTTTTCACGCCCCATGCAAACAAACGAATGACAGAAAATCCTAGTTGCATCTTTATTTAGATAGCAAACTCATTCACAATGAATTCTTCAGTAATTTTTGTTTTAAATGAACAACTTTCATTTCAAACAACTATTTGTGACTTTTGTCACTAGACTGCTTCATTAGTCTGCACCACTTCTACAAAAAAGGAACGCAAAAATAAAGTTCAGTTTTAGTCTTATTAAAAATGAAATCCAGAAACCTGCGAACAGAGATGAAAAAATATAATTTAGTAAGAGCTTAATACTTTTCATTCTTAGTAGCTGCAGTGTGCCTGTTTTTCACTGCAGAGCTTTTCAAAACGTGGTTGCAGGCTTGATACTGCCACTCTCGAATCATGTTTAATGTTCAGCTTGGATCTATGCTTTGTTTTCAGTGAGACAACAGCAGAAAACCCCATCTCACAGAGATAGGACATGGCAAACAGAAGCAGAATGTCCACAGCTCTGTCCTATGAGTGGATGCTCCCTCTCCACACCAGCCAGAATTCACTCAGTGTCTGAGCTGCAAACCTCAGCCTGAGTGTGGAGTCAGAGGTGATCTTGATGAGCTGGTAAAATCATCAGGTACAGATGCATTAAATGGATCTCTCCCCCAGGCATACTGAGCACTGTTGTTTGGGAAGAATTTCTGAAAAAATGCTCTCAGGGAAGAGATGTGTTCTTTAAAACACAAGATCACTGTGCTAGCTCCCAGCTCACTGGGTTCGGCAAAGTTGATCAGATTCTCAAAGGAATCAACATTTTGTTCATCAAGTCATCTGCTGTAGATCTCAAGTTTTCAAGTGAATGCACTGATTTTGTTTGCCTGGATGTTTGCCTCTACCTTGAAGCTGCAGATTTAAATCATTAAGCTTTTTAAGTATATCGATGAGATAGGCCAGCTTCATCAGAAAGACTTCATCATTAAACTGGCTTGCAACTTCATGCATGCCTTCCTCCTATAAAATCATCAGAATTTCCTCTCTGAGCTCAAAGACTCGTGTCAACACTTTACCTCACTAAAGCCACCTTGCCTCACTGTGAAACAAAACAGCTACATGCTCAGCTCCAATGTCTTCACAAAGTGCGGTAAACTGTTGTGCGCTGAGGGGTCTTGTTTTCATGAAATTCACCACAGCAACAACGTTGCTTAAAACAGTCTTGAGTTCGGGGTTAATCTGCCTCGATGCGAGGGGTTCTCTGTGTACCAGGCAGCGTGTCCATTGCGCATTTGGTGAGACTTTTTTGATAAGTGCGCGCAACCCCTTCTTTTTCCCTGCCATAGTTTGTCCACCATCCATGCAAATTCTCACACAGTTGTCCGATTGAAGGTCATGTTCTGTAAGCTAACAGTCAAGAAGCTTGAAGAGCTCATCAGCTGTCACTCTACTTGAGACATACTTGCAAAAAAGCAAATCCTCACACAGAGACTCTGACATGACAAAGCACACATAAGCAATTAACAGACAGTCTTTGTTGCTGTCTGTAGCCTACTTGTAATGCAAAAAGTCTGTCCTTCAGCGCATCAATGAGTTGTTCTTCAGTGTCACATGAAATATCACATATGCGCCTTGCAACTGTGTCATTGGAGAGAGGGACAGCCTTTAATATTTGCAGCATTCATCTCATCGAGCATACTTGACACCGTATTTAAAGCTCCAGAGAGTATGAGCTCCTGGCTCAGTGCCTCTCCTGGCTTATTTTTTGGCTAGTTATCGGCACTTGCCTCATTTGTCTCAGATGCAACACGTTTTTCTTTTCATAACTGTCAAATATCTCTCCATTTTGACTAACATTCAAACCTGGGACAGCAGTAGATATGCATATTATTAACGCAACTGTGGCTAATTTCTTTGTTCTACCGTAAAAGTGATTCCGATGTTAAACATTAGGTCCACGTTACTTTTCTGCAGGTAAATTGCGCCACACCGGTCATAACCCTATGCCACACAAATAAGATATGCAAAAATATGCATCAATTTCTATTTTTTTAATTTATTTTTTCCCCATTGGCCAAATTAGTCTGTGATTGGCCTTAGTGTCCCAGAAATCATGTTTAGATACAACTAAACATGACTTACAAATGTGTTTTAAATGGATGATTCCTCACTTGATGACAAATCATCCATTTACATATTTGCTGAGTTCTAAATTTGATGCCAGTGAACTTATCAGTGGTTGCTTTAAAAAAGGGACTGCTTACAGAGCAGGTATGAATGGTGCCTGAGACATACACAACTCACAACTTCCTGGCTTTCATGACTCCTCTGCAGAGGGTTTCCCTAAGAAGTGGTGGCCTCGTGGGGGGTGTTGGGGAACGGGGAGCTGTGCCTCACTGCCCTTCCCCTCTCAGAGAAACCCTTCTACAGAGGAGTGGACAGAGCCAGGAGCTTGTGAGCTGTGTATGTCCTGCTGAGCCTCTACCTTTTACAGGTGGGTGCAGCCTGGACTGCCTAGAGACAGACCAGACCAGCTGCACTACACAGACACTTCAAATCGCATCTGCTGACAAAAGATAGATAGATCCATCCATCCATCCATCCATCCATCCATCCATCCATCCATCCATCCATCAGGAACTGCTTACAGAGCAAGTATGAATGATGTCTGAGTGGCATCATTCAAGAGATTCTCACTCATAATGATTTTGTTCATATATAAGCTAAGACATGTAGAAAAACTTTCATATTTAGTAAAAGATACTTATTAACACTATCTAATTACCAGCATATTTTCTGAGTGTTACTCAATGTCTGTAGGCACTGGGATCTTGGTGGTTGCCTAGGGTACAAAATGTCATCTATGTTTTGTTTGTTTTAATTCAGTTTCATTTCATTTCATTTCACAGATGTTAATAGAGGTTTACTAACTCTATGATATCCAAATTGAAAAATCTGTATGGATTTAGCATAATATATTAATCATTCATTGGAATAATCCAAATATGCAAACTAAATATCACATATTTGTTTGTAAGGAGCCCTTGAATGTTTTCAAAGGTGCCTACTAAAAATTAAATGTAGGGGTGGGTTTAAAAAAATGATTTTCCGATTCAAATCGATTTTAGCTTGAATAACACAATATCGATTCATTAAATCCTGAATTGATTTTTTTAAATATAAATGTATTTTGCCAGAAACGTCAGAATCTCAGGTTAAAGCTCACAAAACTTTTTCAACAACCACCAAACAACTAAAACAGCAAATGAGTGTAGGTAAATGGACTGCGCACAAAGATGTAAACACAAAGCGCGGACCCGACGTCTCACGAGTCTCACAAGTGTCAGTACTGATAAATGATCAGAATTATACTATTTCTGACTGTCTAAGTCAAAGTGTGCATCACTTTAGTTCAAAGAACCAGCCAGATTTACTGTGAAGACTGGGTGGGGGGAGGGTAACTGAGTTTATTTGGGTACCAGCACACTGGTAAGGGGGGAGGTGGAATGGCACACATGGGGCTAAACAGGTACTACAACAATGTGTGGAGGTGACACTTGGTAAAATAGGAAGAAAAAAACCTCCTAATCATGTTGAAAATGAAAAAGAAGTGGCCGCACAGTAGAACAGGGAAGATAAAGTATACAAGAGAGTAGGGCCAAGCAAGGCAACTGGAAGAAATAGAAAAAAGGAAGTCATTTTCTCTAGGCTAATAATAGGTCTGGAATAAGTTCAGCCACACGACCATTAGGAAAACATGATTCAGAGCAATGTGTAAAATGCAGGAGTGCAGCATGTGTTACTGAAATGTAATGGATACAGACAGCTGCTGTAGACCTCTCAAGTCATGGTCCTCAGACATAAACAAATACCAAATCAGTCAAGGAATGCAGCCGTGCTGAACTCTTCACATTTTAATTGTGAACGCGTGAAATCCTTCAGTACAGAATGACAGTCATTAACAATAATGCACTTTGAACAGCATATTTAAACTGTAAAACAGAAAACAGCATCAACACAGAAAGCAGCTTGTATGAATGCAAACATTTCTTTTTATTATGACAACACAAAGTAAAGACTTTTTAGTGAGCTTAACCCTCATCCTGTCTCACAGGTTTCGGAACAGAGGCTCGCAGTATGAGCATGCTACAGGTTGTGCATCTGACGGATGTTCAGGGTATCCCGCAGCATTAGGTCACGTAGTCGCCAAAGTGCATCTGCCATTGTCTTGTGGGCGCCCTTACTCTTCAGCCAGTGGGACGGCAGTCTGCTCTCTTGCTCTTTTGTCAAACGCACATCTTGTTTTTGAACTGAAATTGCAAAGACATTAAATCAAAGATGAATATGAAAAAAGTACAATTAAACAAAATATTGGTATTCATGGATAAGAAATACGCGCAATATGTGGAGATATTTCTACTACTGTAACTAGCTTTCTATGTAGGCTGAATGACTAACTATTGAAGTATAAAATGAACCTGAGAGAGCTTGGTCCCACTTGCTAACAGTTGAGGATTCTGCTGTAAGGCCCTCGATGTATCTCAGGTAAGCCTCAGAGTGGAGCACCCGCTGATTTTTGGCAGGCGGGGACACAAACACTGGGGTGGATGGCTGCTGCAGTGCAGGTTGTCCCATCTGAGCCTGACCAGGGTACGGTGGTGGAGCCTGCTGTCCTGGGCCAACCAAACCCATCTAAACATAACAATGCAAGAACTCCATTATTTCTCTGATTCAAACTATAATTCAGCTCAATTCCACTCAATTTCTTTATACAGCCCAATATCACATGTGGAGGTTGAAAGGGTTTTACAAGCAGGAAAAAAATATAAAAAGGACATTCACATTACATTTGATCATCATCAGTACTGACATGTATACAAAGCTATAAAATATTGGCAGCTGCCAGTGCTACCCCTCCTAGTAGATGCAAGTATGGTATAAATTTGATAAACCTAGGTGACTTCCTTTTTGAATTATTGTATTTACAAGATTTTCAGAAAGGTTGACCTCTGACCTTAAGATCAAGGTCACCAGAATTCGAACTTGTCCAAAATTATTAGTAGATATACCTGTGGTATCAACTTCAAACTCCTACTTCATCTCGTTCACGATTTAGCGGATCCACAAACTCTGAGGTGTAAAAATGCAAATGGTATAAAGGTACACTTTCTTGGAGGGAGCTAAATAAAGTGCAAACATTAAAGAAGTTTTTCAGGTACTCTGTATTGAAGTTGTTTGATGTAAACTTTAAACCAATGACCTGATGATTTCCAGGCTTATATCCGAAACACACATCTGCATCAAGGTTGCAAACTATACCTAGACACAAATCTTATATACAGTTTTAAGGGATTTCTTTTTCAGAGCCCAACTGATTACCTGAGATCCATGAACACTTCCTGCTCCAGGTCCACCTACTCCATTGATACCTGTGAAGATATTAATCCATGACGAATTGGAGCCAGCCAAGTGCTGCTGGTTTATATTCCAAATACTATGTTAAAATTACAATACTAGAAATTAACCGGTGTTTTTAGCAATTTCAGAAATGCCAATCGTTAAAAAGATGATCACATGTGGATTTATTAGCATCATAATCAAGGTTATGTTAACACATTACCATCAGGTCTGTTGGTAATGAGCTGCATAAATACCCAAGTCCTTGATGAGACTATGCGCTCTCAGCTGTCTAGTCATCAACTTAAGGACCTCAGCCTATTGGTACAGGTAGCCCCTCCAGCAAGTCAGATTGGTAGACAGGAAGCAACTGCTTGACAGGTGGTGTGGCTATGACAGCACTCTTACCAAAGTATGGTATTCCAGGGAACCCAGGCATAACGCGCAGGAGATGTTGGGGAAAGACAGGCACCCCCATGTGATGTGGTGGTATGCCAGTCATACTAACCATGCCTTCAACATGTCCTTGCAGGGGCATCATAGCTGACCTATATGCACCCATCCTACCTTCTTAGGAAGGAACAGTAGTAACACAAAACAGCAACATGCATTAGTCAAACATGCATTCACTACCAGGCATGCAGTTATATGTTACTATATATAAATGAATGGAAAAGGTCACACAAATGGGAAATGTGCATGAAATCGTTTTAGTGTATGTGCAGCATGGCCAAGCATTCATTTTACCGTATAAACCCTTAAATGGTGTATACCACCCTTTCATGTGTAGGACACTCCATGACCCAATTGAAATGCAGATTCTAGGATTTTTATTATGTGTCTGGGTGATGCATAATGGGTGTTATGCACAATTTAAGTTTATGAATTAGATGAAATAATGTTAGAGGCAATATAAAAGGAAATCACAGCAAAATGAAAACAAAAAATTGAAGATGTGAGTAATTCTAGCAGTTAAGCTTCTTATTCCAGTCTTGGAGTGTGCACTGGGGATCCATCTGCATCTATGAGGGGTTACCTGACACAGGCGTCATGCTGGGATTTAGCATCCCCATGGGGGTTGGGGGAGGCACCACCCCCATCAGTGCCCCTACTGGGGTACCTGCTCTAGGGGACGTCTGATGCTGGGCCCTCTCACGTTCCTGTTGCTCAGCCACTTTTGCTGCTCGCTCTGAAACACAAGAAATATAAGTATAAGGTGTTAACTTTATCATTCACAATTCGTGAGCCATAAATAAGTGGATCGATAGATTCAATCAGTCAATCCATCAATCAATCTCTATGCTATCAACTGAATAGGAATATCAAATAAAAATACTCACCTTCATACTCTGCTTTCCTGGAACTGTCCAGGTTCCTCCACTCTGTGCCAACAAGGCGGCTCAACTCCCCAAAGGAAAAGTCTGGGTGCTGAGCTTTTATCACCGCTCGCATCTCACTGCTGAACAGGATGTAACCGCTCATGTTGATCTTCCTCTTTGAGCCTTCCTTCTTTGAAAGCCCTTTTATGGACTTTGGTGTGGACTGTAACCAATCAAAGGGGAATAATCCGTAAAAATACCGCACAATTATTATTGCTCAAAATTATTTAAAATAATTACTTTCATACTAACCTGCGGAGGAGTGTAAGGCATGATATCCATGTCACTAGACATGGAAGACTGCATCTGTGGAAGAGTCTGGTCCCCTAGCTCGCCATCATCATCCCCAAGATCCTCTAGCTCTTCATCAGTCATGTCAGCAAACTTAGCTTCCAGTTCCTCAATTTTCCTATCTAACAGAGGGGATGGCTCCTTCTGGGGTACTATAAGCTTCCTGTACAAGACATTCAGTGTAATTTATTCTTCTTTTCCAAATAAATTCTTCAGTTAGGAAAAGCTTGTTAATTGATTTAAGTTCTCCTTTCAGTAACTCAAATACATACACGGATGGCAGTAGAAAATTAAAGCACACACAGAAATGAAAAGCATCCAGTATGAAAAGATCAGCTGTCTCTATGCAAACTATGCCAGTCTTTAAAACAGTTTGGACCAATAAAACATTTATTACTTAGCTCTTTAACACTTAATAGCTGAGACGTCTTGATTTTTCACCAACCAACAATGATAGGCATACATAGCCTACAGACTGTTCACCTAAAATAGTAGATTTCATCTTCCAGCACCTTCCCAGAGAGTGAGAAACGCTTCAGACCTTTGAATTTCTTCATCTGCTTCTCACTCTCAATGTAGCGGCTCTCACAGAGCAGAACGTTCTCTTCAGGCACTTCAGTCGGCCGACATGACAAATAGTCTTTGAAGGACGACACGACACACTTTCCTGTGAAATGAGAACAGATTTGCTTAATGCTTTTAAGGATTCTTCTGATAATGTTATCATCATAAAGTAGTACACAAAGCTGACGGTGTTCTGTTTAGGGTACCTATGATGCAGGTCATGGGACAAGTCTCCTCCAGGTTGCTGAGGAACACTTCCTTCTTATAGAACATCTTTGTGGGTTCGTGCTCGGTTTCTTCAGGATGAATAAAGATGGGACCAAAAAAGTAACCCGCTCCATCGCGCATCCACATTTTCTCAATCCTGTTCAATAAAAAATATAAAAGATGCTGTTTTTTAAGCATTTGATTAACTATGATCAGCATACAAGCAATAGAGTTTCAATTATTATAACTGCAGGGAAGCATGAGGCATATTCCAAATGGCAGTTTGGAAAAAGCAAAATTGAATTGTAAGCACATCTTTATAACTAAGCAAAAATATTAGTATTATAATATATTATAATACTAAGTTTTGTCTGTCATAACAGAAATGCTGACGCAACTTTCACAGGAGCAGCTACGCTACCTGCCAACTCGATGGGGCACAAGTCCATGAGAAGCGATGTAAACGAAGTCTGCTACTTTAAGCCACAGGTTGTTGTAGCAGAGTTGCTCGTAGTACTGACACCCTGGCTCCCCATTGGTCACATCCAATGGCACATCTTCCCTTTCCTGCAGACACAAATCATTTTGCTGACAGCGAGACTTATATGCACACTACCAGTTTTTATAGAAGCAGTCAAATCGCTATTTACCTTGTCTATTATACCATTTGTAATCTTGCTTTCATCTGCAATCTCTGGTGGCTTCTCCTCTTGTTTCTGGGCAAAAATGGATGCCACACGGACTACAGGAAGGGGTACCTCTCTGGGAACAAACCGAACAGAGCTCAAGGGCATCGTCCACATCTTGATCTTTTTGAAGGACTTGGACTTGGCAGAGTAACGGGACTCACAGACATAAACATCCTCCGCTCTGAAGCCTTCAGGATGAAGCTTGAAGTATTCCTTCAATGAAAAACGCATTTAAAACAATAAACAAAACAAAAAATGGCCATAAAACAAAACCTATTATTAATCTAAAAACAACAAAAAAGCAGTGAATTACCTTCACAAACATGACCACACATTTTCCCATAATCTTGCTGACAGGAGCTTTGTTATAATAGTCACTCTTAAAAACTTCCTTCTCCAGGAATTTCCTTGTAGCCAGATGAAATGTTTCATTTGGCCTATAGAACCAGCAGCCATACAGCCACTTTTCCCCTGTGTGTATAAGCGGTAGAAAAACTTACTCAGTTTTACTGCCTGAAAATATCAATATGATTTTTTGTTTTAATGACAAAACAATTTAGTTAGTGTTAAGAGACTGACCGGTGTTGTCTTGCCAAAGACGCTCAATGTAGATTATATGGGGCTGGAGGTTAGGCTCCGCAGGCTCCACGTACACGTAGTCGCCCACATGGTACATACTGTCCTTGAAGCTGCAGTCCTGACTGTATGTGCGCTGTAGGCCCGACTGCCATGATCCTCCAACAGGATCCTCCCTCTTCTCTGCTTCTGTGAATTCACCACATATTCAGCAAAACAAGGCTATATGCACAGATGCATGGTAGTCTATGATAGCACTTTTTATGGACTTTTATTTTTAATACATAAAGTGTTTGACATGTTTGACATAATACCGATTTTCTCCTCTTCTCTCTTAATTTTGTCTTCTTCAAACTCCTTAGGGAGCTTCTCTTTCTTCTCCTTTTCGACATCACTATGCAGATGCTTAGAAGTATAGCTGAGCGCTGGGGACATCAAGATCTCTCCATTCTTACACAGTTCATCTCTGATACGTATGAAGAACTGCTGCAGCTCCACAGCATCTTCAAAGATCTCTGAGTCTGTCCTGTAATGAACAAATGGTGTAACACTAACTTCTGCTTCTTTTAATAATAAGCACTGATTTGGTTTTGTGTACAATGTTCAGCAATACTTTACCGATTCAGTCTTCTGGCCTTCTCCAACACTTCAAACATGTGGTCCTGAAATACATCCAACCTCTTGTAATGGCCTCGATCCACATTATTTCTGATAATCTCAAAATTGAGCGATGGCTTCTCTGGGTTAGCGGGATCAACAGCTGGGATCTCAGCGAGTGAATCGCTGTAACAACGTCCTTCATCATCTTGGTGGCCGAGCACAGAAACAAAGAGGCTGCGAATGAGTTCCTGGATGAGGCGAGGCACATCGGGGACATGGGCATCCTCTCCTCCCTCCAGGTCACGCCTCGTCTCTAACAGCACCCTGTGCAGCAACAGAGCGTCGCGGTAAATCAGAGACTCTGGCTCATTGTAAGTGCAGGCGTTGTTGAACATGAGCACCAAGTCCTCAACCAGAGCATCTACATCCTGGTACTTGTTAGCCAACATGTGGCTCCTGATCTTCTCCATGTCCACAGGTTTCTTGATGGCAATGTAATAGTCAGGCAGCTCAGCACGAGAAGGCAACCGCAGGAAGATCGTGCTGAGACGACGGCCCCGCTTATCAGTGTAGTTCTTGACAGCTTCGTACAGTTCATGCAGTTTCTGCTGTAGAGGTGTTAAATACTTTGACTTCTTTAGAGTAATGCTGTTCTTTCCTGCAACAGAAGTAGAAACATTTCTAATTCTTGACAGATAAGAAATTTACATACTTTCATATATTGTTTGATTATGTTACTTGAGTGACATACTTATTTTCAACTTTGGGGACATCATGTCATCATCATCAGTTGCTGGGCCAAGCTCTTTGCGTTTGTCTTTCATGATCTTCTCTAGGACGTCTGCATCGTTGTAAACCTACAGATACAGAAGTTCAGGGTAGACCCCCTCTAGGTTCAATCTCTGTGTCAAACAAGCCAACTTTCCTTTGATTGGCTGCCCCTTGCAAACAAAAGATTTGAAGTGGCTCCGCTGACAGAACTGCATGGCTTAGATGATGATATCAAAGATATCTGGTCTTAATAAATAAAGTCTGAGCTTCAAGCTCATAGGTGTGTGTATATGATTGATAATAATTAAAAGCTCAAAGGAGACCTTTGAGCTTTTAATTTTTGTCATACTATCTACTCTAATAGTGAAAGAAGGACTTGTCTTCAGGAACAAGAAACAAATCAGCTTCTTTAACTTTAGAAAATATAGAACAAATAACTGGGATCTCTAAAATGTATCAAAAAAAGGGAGGCGCATCAAACCTGAGAGCCTTCCTCATTGTAGTGTCGTGCATTGCGGAACATCAGCTTCATATCTTCCAGCATTGAGTCTTCGGTAAGGTACTTGTCTGAGCGGATATTGTGCTCTATGGTCCTCAGGTCCATTGGTTCCAGGATGACTTTGTAGTAGTCGGGATAGTCCTTCTTCGAAGGCTTGACCATGAAGAGGTCACACAATCTGCGACCAGTGCCGGCTTCTCGCGCCTCAGTCACAGCAGCAAAGAGAGCTTTCATCCTGTTTTTCTTCGTATTCTTCTTGTGACTAGAAGCCAGAGAGAAACCACCAAAGAACTGTCACACAGGTATCCCCTTTCCAAGAAATGACCAACTTTAGAGAATTCAACAAGTACGTGACAAAGTGCACCTTTTTCTTTTTGTGCTACTGGTGTCAGAGGTGGCAGAGGAGAGCATGCTGTCGCCATCATCATCATCTCTCTGTAAAAGCTCCTTTCTCTTCATCTAGGTGAAAGGTGATAAAAACCAATCCGGAGTTACAATAATTCTTTAACAAAAAAAACCAACAAAACAAAACACCACAAAACTGGCAGAAAGGTGTAATCTTTAATAATCCATAAAGGAGCTCTTTTTTAAAGAGAATGTCCAAGCAAATCCAACATAGACGCACAACTACAAGGAACAGGCAGGCACTGACCTGCTGAATATGCTGAAGTTTTAGAGCACGCTTGTAGATGGAAGAGTGAGGAACGTTGTAGCGCTTGGCATTCTCAAACATCAATGTCAGATCAGAGTCGATGTGCTCAACACTCTCATACTCATTGTTTTTCATCTTGTTCCTGTGGGGAATTATGGGCTCTCACATTTGGGAAGGAGGGCACAGGAAAACTGAACTGTACAGTGAGTGTGTTTGATGCCACATTTTCCCACATAAGATAAAAAAGACAGGATGCAGGTGAAAAAAACCCAAAAACAAATCATTGATGAAAACATTGAAGAACAAATGAGGAACAAAACGAGCTGATATTTGCCAATATAAGAAAATGAAGTTTTCTTTCTTGATTTCTTTAAATTCTGAACTACAAATAATTTTACCAAAAAAAAAAAAAAAAACAAGTTTAAGAGCATGAAAACAGCACTATGAAAACACAGTTCTGTCATACTTGATCTGATGAAGGCAGATGGGCTGACTAATCTGGTGGTAGTAGTCTGGGTAGTCTTTCCTGGACGGTAGCTGCAGGAAAGGCTCAGAAATCAGCTGGCCCTGGCTGTTCCTGGCACCGCGCACAGCTTCATACAGCTGGAAGATGGGATTACTCATGTCCATGTTAGAGGTCATACTCTCTGCCTCTGATTCTCCCTCATCATAGTGGACAGACCCTGTCAAACACAGGAGATAAATGGCTAATGGCTAATCTCTGTTACAACACCGTAAAGAGCAACTTAATCAACATCCAACAGTTTAACAATGAGATGATGATGTACCGGAGAGTATGCCTTCCTCATCACTTTCATACTGAAGAGCCATGGTGATAGCTGAGAGGCGGTCTCCCTGTGCAGATCTTCTATTCCTTGCAAAGACAGACAGAAAAATTTAAAGAGCCGAGTCAAAACCACACAGTTAACACAACTTCTCTCTACATTATTCCAGGTGTTAAGTACCTGATACGAATGCTGGACTTGATTGGCTCTCCGTGTTCTATCTCTGACTTCTTTTGTGCAAAAATCTTTTTAATGGTGTTTGCATCCTGCAAGACAACAGCAAGTCACAAGTTAGTGTCTTGGACACCAGCAATAGCCTGTATCGTGCTTTCAGATGCACCCTGACCTTAAACACCTGTGATCCAGGCTCATTGTAGGTTTTGGCATTCTTGACCAACAGGTCTATGTCCTTAGCCATGGCATTGACACTCCTGTAATGGCCCAACTAAAAGCAAAAGTATTGGTTGGACATTTCATTAAGAAAATATTTAAAAACACTAAATCAGAATTTAACAGGAAAATATAAGCGTACCTGAATCTTTTGAGCGATGATTTTCAGATCTATTGGTTCCTTAATGATGGCATAATAATCTGGGTATTGCTAAATGAAAAGGGCAAACTGCAAATCAAACTAAACAAACGTATTTTATGATTCATTTTACAAGTCATACTCGAGGTTCTCGTACCATTTTGGAGGGAAGCTTCTGGAACAGCTCGCTGACAAGGCGACCAGTGGGCTCAGTGTACGACACCACAGCATCAAGGAGCTGCTCAAGGACTTCTTTCAAACAGGTAGGTGCACTCTGATATGCAAGTATTTACATGAGTCAAGCAGCAAAATACAGTATCATCTTTAGTCATGTCAGCTGTAGACCATATAAAAACTGACACAGTAAAAGATGGCTTTTAGATCTGTTACTGCTGGGACTGAGTTTAAAAGTCCTTAAAACAGATGAGCTAAATGTTTCACATGACAGAACTGCAACTGCAATATCTTCAGAAAAATTTAAAGTCCTATCCGGTCGCTACTTCTTCTGCTAAGATCAGTGTTAGTATCTTGGTATAAAGTTTAAAATCAAACTTTTCTGTTTGCCAATCCCATGGAAAACTGAAAACCCAGTGAAATACTTCATACATATGCAAGTGTGGAATAGTGCAAAGAATGGGACACTCCAGTTGTTGCAGGGCTAATATGGCTAACGTAATTTTTAGCTTTGATCAAAACTACACTAACTAGAGCTGTAGTAAAAATGCAACTGAGGGTTAGCTTTGCTGATTACTAACAAAATACAGAGAGATGATTCAATGCTGATTCTGGCCAGTAGGTGGCTTATACTGAAGAATAACAATGTATCCCTAATAGAGCAGGGCGATATGGCCAAAAATATTTATCACGATATATATTTGAAAATTTGCGATAACGATATAACCGACGATATAATTGATGCGAGACAAAATACAACTCCACAACATTACTAGCGCAAAAAGACAACCTTCCATTTATTTTCACTTAAACAAGAAGCTGGTTTTTATGTACATTAAAGCTTTATAAAAATGTAACAGTGCAAATGCAAATTCCTTGCTGAAAGTTTAACCAAAAGGCATTTCCAGTAGAAATGGGCTGACATATCCTGAGCATAACCATGTATAATATCCACTGAAGTTAAAAAGAGGTGCTTTGCAACATTAAACTGCAGTGTGCAGTACGTATTTTTCGGACCATAAGGTGCACGGGATTATAAGGCACATTAAGCGAAACAAAGCAGTCAGATAAATCAAACTTTATTAAACTCATTCTTCTTGCTTCCTCCACTTCTGTACCATTGATTCATTAATGTTGAATTCTCTGGCAGCTGCTCTATTCCCATGTTGTTGCAGTATATTAATGACTAACCTCGTATTGTGGATGGATTATCTCAGTTGTTCTCCTGACTGAAGTTTGGTCCGTTTACAGCATCCTGCCATGCGATTGCATTTGTCTCTAACCATGAAGAACCTTCACGTTAACTTTTATAAGTGGAAAAGTGTTAGTGTTCGTCCTCCAGCTTCACTGTTTATGTTATGCTAACATAGCTGTGTCGCTAGCGATCACGTAGCACATCATTATATACCAGCTAGCCCAACTTCAGTAACCCTACAAACGTCACTGCTGTTTAGTTTCCTGTCTTCATTTATGTTGGAAGTGATAGCAGAGCTGTACGTTTGATTTTTTTCAGAAATCTCTCAGTCAGAACATGCAATATCATGCTTAGGTAACTAGCGAAACTAGCGAGCTAACTTCCGCTAGCTTCCTGCTAACTTCTAACTCCGTTAAATGTAATAACTTTTGTTTTCATGGATGCCTGGAAGTTAAACTTTATAGTTACACCTGGTAAAGCAGCAATGCTGATCGTTTTATTAAAGATGAAAGAATTTAGACAGTTTTTAACTCTCAGTGATGCTGCAGTGTTGTTTGACCTGAAGCATACGAGTTTAGGACCCAGATTACTCCCAGATTTAAGAGCATCTTAGTCCGACAAATACGACAATAACGACGGCCGCTTGCATGTTCTGCAAAAAAATGTGCTTTGTTGTGTATCTGACGGACAAACACCAAACCAGTTCCACATCACTGAAGTTGCACCATTTTTACAAACCAATTCTGGTTCATCTGTTTCACTCAACAATCGGCCATGTGCGTATGAAAACAAAGGCACTGCGCATGCGCGTTTTACTCCCATTCTATCGCGATATTTCATTTTCCTATCGTTGCCTAACATTATACCGGTATTACCGTGAACGGTATAATATGGCCCAGCCCTAATCCCTAAAATGCACCTCATCTTCGGTAGATCCTCCAGGGTTGTCTTGTGCGTCATATCCATCTTCATCATCTTCATCATATTCCCCTCGCTGAACAAACTCATTCTTGGTGCGCAGGTAAAGGTCCCACAGTTTGCAGGCAGCTCTGTATTCTGGACTTTCCGACTACATTAGGGCAAGACAAATTCATTTTATGTTCATACTCTGGACCTTACACTTCCTTTACAAATATGTTAAACCATTTAGAGTAGAAATATCTATTTGTTACCTTATAATAAGTCTTTGCATTGTTGAATAAAAGTTGAAAGTCACTAGTTAGTTGTTCAACATCATCGTACTCCTCCATCTTTAATTTTTGCTGGATCTTCATCATGTCAATAGGCTGAGACACCACGTGGTAATAGTCTGGCTGATTCCTGTAGGAAAATTAGACTTTTTTTGTAATGTTTGTATTCAACTTCACATTTTGGGATTGCTATTATAGGGTTTTAATAATGTAAGTATGTCTAATGATCACTCATCCCTCTCATCACCTCCTTTTCGGGGCTCTAATGAAGAGCTCACACAACATCCTCCCCTGGTCATCCTTGTAATCTCTGATTGTGTTGTATAGTTCGTGGCATACAGCGATCTGTAAGGCAAAATTTAAACACTTAAAAACACCCACACCCTTTTCATCATTAAATACTTACGGTCAGTGTGGCACTATAATTCTCACAGTTCATTTTTTAAGAAATGGTAACTGAAATTTGTAAAATTACAGGATCCACAGTAGGAATGTTTGAGGTCCTTCTCCTCTTTCTCCCAAATGAAGGCACTAACGATGAAGCCTGGCTATCGTCAAAATCTCCTCCACTCACACTGCTAGAGGGAGACGTCGCCCTTCTCCTTTTCAAGGCCATGACGAACCCCTGAGAAGACAAAGTCCAATTAAGTAACAGCATTTGGGAAATAATGCACAGAAATAACAGAGCTATACTCAGTTGTACTGTATCAGAAGCAGATGATTAGATTGTCACTCATGAAAATTATAAACTGATATTATGAAGTCAAAAGATTTGCCAGCTGTTCACGGCGGTGCTGCTGTGACTTTCCTTGGAGTCAAAAGGGATGAACATAAAATAACAATTTGACGTGTGATTTCCTATACCTACAGATAACGTGGTCTCAAAATCTCACTAAGATGATTTCATGTATTAAACATAAAGTTGCCTTAAGGTTTAGAACTGGTCTCTTCCCCTTCTTGACAGATCCTCTCATCCTTAAGCGCAACATGTACTGCAAATGGCGTGAAAAGGGCAGAAAATAAACAAAGAAATCAGGCTCGAAGCATACAGTGTGGCTGTCGTTTTCTTGATTTAACAAGAAAATGCAGGTTTCTCAAGTATTCTGGATTTCTGGCATACACTTTCACTTTGAAAAACTAGCAATAAATGATGTTACTTCTCGTTATAGTAAAAGCAATTAAGTATTTAGTTAAAGGAGTCTCAGTAAAATCAAGAACGTCAGTGAAAACAATTTCCGCAAACCCTTTGTTGTACACACAACCACACTGTATGACTAATAGTTATGAAAATGATTAAAAATCTAAGCAAGTAAAGCTTAAATGAGTATGAGAATGGGGAGCATGAGAGACTCCCACTGAAATGATCCACTGTCACTCCGCGGGGGTTCAGCAATAGTTATTAGTATTAGTTACAGTGGTTACTAATCTTATTCCCAACTCAAAGTTCTTCCTCAAACCCACATTTTTTCCTTTACACATGCACTCAAGAGGCACTTTATTAGGTACATCTCGCTAGTACTAGGCTGGCCTCCCTTTTGCCTTCAGAAATACAATAATTCTTTGTGACGTCGATCTAACAATGTGCTGGAAACATTCCTCTGAGATTTTGGCCCATATTGACATGATAGCATCACATAGTTGCTGCAGATTTATGGGCTGTATATCCATAATACCAATATGCCGTTCTACCACATCGCAAAGGTCCTTTATTCAATCAAGATCTGGTGACTGTGGCGACCATTTCAGTGCACTGTCATTTTCAAGAAACCGGTTTTGTGACATTGCACATTATCCTGCTGGAAGCAGGCATCAGAAGATGGATGCACTATGGTCATAAAGGGATGGACATGGTCAGAAACATTACTCAGGTAGGTTGTGGTATTTAGGCGAAGCTCAGTTTAAGAAGGGGTTGAAGTGGATCAAGAAAATATCACCGGCCTCATTACAACACCACAATCAGGCTTAACCACGAATATAAGGCATGGTGATTTGACAAGGTTCAATGTGATTTGCATTTAGAGATGATCTTCTGCATACCTTGGTTGTAATGAGTGGTTATTTGAGTTATCTTTCCCTTCCTATCAGCTCAAAGCTATTCTCCTCTACCCTCTGGTATCAACGAGGCATTTTTATCCAGAGAATTGCCCACACTGGATATTTTTCCTTTTTCGGATCATTCTCTGTAAATCCCTTAAGATGGTTGGGTAAATCCCAGTAGATCAGCAGTTTCTCAAACAGCCAGTCTTGCACCAACAAACATACCATGTTCAAAGTAATTAAATCACCTTTTTTCACCCAATTCTGATGCACGGTTTGAACTTCAGCTGGTCATCCTGATTACGTCTACTTGATCTTTGCATTATTGAATAAACTGCAGTCGCATGTGATTTGCTGATTGTATATTAGTTATATTAACAAGGACTTGGACAGTTTTATGTAATAAAGAGGTTAGTGAGTGTATGTTCACGTAGGGTGTACTTGATACCCATCATGTAACTGACATTCACACCCATTTAAAACTAACGACTGCGTGTAGACTGTGTACCCAGAAGAAGCCCACACAGTTGCAGGCAGAACAGGCAAACCAGCCTGTAGAATCCAAACCCATCTCTAAAATACCGCATCACTGTACCCCAAGTCAATATAGCCCATAGCTTACATTTTATTTAATACATACCATTTAAAGTGTGGATTCTGAAATACACACATTTTGTCTTCTTATGTTTACTTTTATATTATACATGACATTTTTTACATTATACAGAAGTATTCTTTAATGTACAGAAAGTGAGGATGCTCAACTGTTAATTCTTGTACCAACGCTAATGTGTAAAATGACAAAGTACCAAATGATCAGTATTATTGTTGTCATTCATTCCTCTTTGTGAAACAGCCAAAGTAGGATTTATGCAGCACCATAAGTGAACACTGGCCACTGCCCTCAGTAAATGTAATGCAGATTTTTTGGCTGCTATATCCCTGTAGAAAAGCAGTAGTAGTAGAAAGCTTAGTCTGCCTCTAAAACTAACTGTACTCATTTACAGAGTAAACAGCAGTGATCGTCATACATATGTGATATCAAACAATAGGCCTAACGCAGAAATGTCAATAACTGTAATAAAAAATATACTATTGGCACTGTGTACAGTGGAAGGAGGACCAAAAAGGCACGTTGGAGCCTTAAATGATGAATTTAAAGGTATTTAACATATACTTTCGGGAGAGGAGAACTAGGAAAATGAAGGTGTTTAAAAAATAAAATAAAAATAAACAAACCCTCTGCTCTCCTAGTAGGTTTTAAGTACCTTATTTTACGTTGTTAAATGCTGCAGCTCACTGCTTTCACCTCGAATGACATTTCTCTTAGTGCGCGGCAATGATGCTGGTATGTCTGGAGGTCTGACTCGCCAAGAATGTTAACAGCTCTCCCTTAATGCTCCCCAGCAGCTGCGCACAGGCTGCCGTCCAGCGTGCACACATCAGCAGCCTAGCATGCAGAACGGCAGCTGTCCACACACCTGAGTGTCTGTCACTCAGCGTGGACAGGTACGCACCTCGGAGCAGCTAGCCTTAGCTACAGTTAACGGTTAGCCTTAACGTTACCTGGTGGGTTAAAGCCTAGACAAAGGCATCACTGTAACGACGACTAACGTTACAAAGCTACCGTTATGTGCACCGACGACACTTGTATAAGGAGAGAAAAAACATACACACACGTTTTACAACTTGACATGGCTGTGTGCTTACCTTTTGTGAACACGACAGCACTACACCCACAAAATCTTAACCATCAAGTAAGCCAATCACTTATCGATTTTAGGTAGGGGGACAGAACTGTAACGTTTTCGCCAATGTAACCTTTATTTCCGTTTGCTTACCTTCACAATAAAAGCGCAGATGGATTTGACGTAGTTATACGTGCCCATTTACATTATTGTAATTGTTTTTCTTCTCTTGTCAATTTACTGTGGGGTTTGTGCGATATGGAGTTGACATAAAAGGGACTACTTTAGTATATATAAATTGTCCCATGCCAGAATTATAAATAAAAAGGGTCAACCTGGACTTGAAAAGGAGCGCAAATGGACTTCCGGTTAGTTCAAAATTATTTTACTAACTTTTACTGCGCCATTAAAACCTCATTGTTGTTAATCAAAAAACCTATTGAGCTGTCAGACTTACCTAAACTGTAAATCCAGTTACATTAAGCAGTAACTTTCCACGTATTAGCTCATGTTTGTGCCATATTCACACAAACTCATTTTGCCACATTCAGTCAAGAAAAACAATGGTAAATGGACTGGTTCTTATATAGCGCTTTTCTACTCTACCTGAGCACTCAAGCTCTTTATACAACATTCCTCATTTACCTATTCATAAAAAAAATTTCTATGCTTTCTTTCTTTCTTTCTTTCTTTCTTTCTTTCTTTCTTTCTTTCTTTCTTTCTTTCTTTCTTTCTTTCTTTCTTTCTTTCATTTATTTATTTATTTATTTATTTATACTCCAATGGATGGATCGGATAAGAACTTGGAGTTAGAATCTGGCCGCGGATATTTGGCATGCAGACTGGAGCAGCCAGTTAAACCATGGAACCACCAACCTTCTGATTAGTAGATGACCGGCTCTACCTTCAATGGATATTACATCCATAATGTTATGTCATGGCTTTTTCTTCTTCGTTTACTTTTTTTTTTTTTTGCAGTATTCGCAGATGAAGTTTAAAAATGTTTTAAAGTATATCAACAATGTTTTCTTCCTCTTTTGGCTGCAACTAGTGGTCACCACAGTGAATCATCAGCCTCCACCTCACCCTATCCCTAGCGTTCTCTTTGACAACCAACCCTCTGAATGTCCTCCATCACTAAATCCATGAATGGCAGCTACATATTTAACATCTTTTGTCCAATATCTCCACCGTCCCAGGTGAGAACGTCCAAGCCTTCTCAGTCTTGCCTCTCTACCTTTCCCTCCAAACTGCTCAGCCTGAGCTGTCAGTTGTGGTCACTCCCAATAAAAGTCTTAGCATCTTCAGCTTTTCCACCTCCAGCTCAGCCTCCTGTTTGATAAGAGATGGCAAAAAACAATAGGATCTTGGAGGACATGGGAATTATGTGAAATAGCAGAAGGGGGTCTGATGTCCTCCCGATCCTGAAGACCTGGAAAAAAAAGGAAAATATATGTAACATAATTTATACATCAAATTAAGTTCTGAAGGTAGCTGGCCAAATAGTCATGCCATAGTCACATATGACTTGTGGCACAGAATTTATCTTCTAAAGCCCCAGAAAAAAGGACAATATCAGATTTCTTGGGCAATAAGAGGGCACTGGGGAAACCTGTCACCCAGCTTGAAATCCTTTTATTGAAAGATTCACTAATATGAACATTGATACTGTTGTGTGACAATAAAGTAGTTATTCTCAATTCTTCTACTGTGATATTTAGAAAGAGGAATCTCAACTATTGGATAGATTGTGGTACAGATACCCCTTCAAGATAAGTTTGTGGTCCTCTGTCTTTGCATCTCGTTCTATCATTAGGTGAATATTTTAATAGAATTGCTAATGATGAAATAGCTGTGTTACTAGACGATATTAGGATGGCAGACATTCACATTTTTTGATGGTTTAAATGTAATGTTTATACTTGCTTTATTTTTCAAAGAGCTAATAGTGCTACACTCATATTAACTGGAAAACACAGTGCTAATCCTGTAATAAATTATAAAACAGTAAATAATAATAATAATAATAATAATAATAATAATAATAATAATAATAATAATAATAATAATAATAATAATAATAATAATACCTTAAGTTATTGTAGAAATTCCAAGTTTTACAGTGGTATAATGAACCTATCAGCAGATACAATGCCATCTACAAAAGGCAGTGATCAGGTTTATTTTATCATTATGATCAAAACCAGATGGTGTGATGAAAAGCTCAAGAGCTTTAAAGCAGTTCAGTTAGCTTTGATGTTCCTGTTGACTCAGCATTACAAAAGTGAAATAAACATCAAAATAGGCAAAATATCTGCCGAATTACGAATCTAGAAGTTCGTATCTGTAGCTAGCTGTATCAGCCTGGGAATGAAAGAATGTAATGAAAGAAAAGATTAATAACTCACGGACTGATTTGTCTGTAACTAACATACTAACTAACTGACATGGGAGTTCACATCAAAGTACAGGCTGGAATTATGTCTTATTTTTCGGAAGAAAGAAGCTACAACAAAAACTTGTTTCTGCCACAGGGAGAAAAAAAATGGCATCAGCATTGTTTGCCATCCATAAGTTATAAATATGAGTTATCATCACAAAATTTCTAACACTGAAACGAATAAAAACTCAAACTAAATGAGCAAACGCACTCCGAAAAACTGAAACTAAACAGCGTTCAAAACAAAAAGTTAAAACGAAATAAATAAAAACATAAAAACATGATATAGAAATACAAAACTATAGTAACTCCAGGTGGCAGTGCTGCATTACGTTACAGCATTAAACCTTTGAAGAGGCCGCATAAGCCTAATAATACTGCAGAGGGCAGTAACACGTCTGGAACTGTGCATGCGGCCAAGAAAAGGAGGAGGAGAAGAAGAAGAAACTACACCAGACAGGAAGTGTTTGCTAATAGTCCCATGTGTTGCGCTTCTCCCGGTCATTCATTCGCGAAACGAAAAAATTACGGACTCGTTTTTCATGCATTCAGGCTTAATCGTGTTTTTTAGGAACCGACTGTGTACTATTAATGATAGTAATAGTAATAATATTTTCCAAATAAACTAAAGACAAAGCCTGCAGCATTTCTGCAGTAGCACTAGCTAGCTAACGCAGGAGTTGTGTTGTAGAAGTTTAGGAAATCTCATCAACATTTAAAGTGCGGTTTCTGGATGAATAGTTCCGTGGATACTAGCATGACCAAGGAAAACCGGTGGGACATACCCCCCAATGCTCCAGCGTGCATGGAGAGGCACCTGTGCGCGGCACAATACAGAGCAGGTAGGGAAAAGGAGCGCTAGCTGAAGGTTAACGTGTAAACACGTGGAGCCGCTAGTTGGTTATTATTAGTGTGTTTACATTTGTGCTAAACTGTTCAAGTCCTACGTTGAAAATGTTAAATAAATAACATTTTATGTTGAATACCAGTCAGAGTAATCTTAACTGGCAGGCGATGAATGAAAATATAGATATTTGAAGGGTTTTCTCGTTGGGTTTTCTCCACAGATGGCACCCTGCTACTTGGTGCCTCCAGCCTCTCTGGCAGAAGCTGGCAGGGATCTGTTTGGATCTACAGCGACCCTGACCAGGCCCCCAGTGAGGGATTCTGCAAAGCTGGTGTGCAGACTGAGGCTGGTGTCACAGATGTCAAATGGGTGTCAGAGAAGGGAATTATTGTTGCGTCAGATTCAGGTAATGAAATGTTTTTTATGGCAGATGAATCAAGCACACACTTGAGGCTTGTATGAAACTGGCCTCATTTTTCTGTGCAGGTGCCTTGGAGCTCTGGGAACTAGCAGAGGATGAATGTCTACTGGTTAATCGCTTTACCAAGCATGATCATGACCATATTGTCACCACAGTAAGCCCCGTGGTTGGAGCAACCGCTGCAGTCACTGGCAGCATGGACTGCAGGTTAGACTTGTTTTACATGAACATACATACACCATTCCACCTGTCACAACAGAGCAGAAGCAATGTTAATTGCTTTTGTTTCAAACTTTGGCTTAATTAATTTTTGAGTTGTCATCCCTTAAAGTGCATCTTTGCTTATTATTACAGAATTAAAGTCTGGGATCTAAGTCAGGAAACGGTTGTCACTACCTACAATGGTAAGCATCATCTTAACAGTTCTTCATACAGAAATGCACAAAACTTACAAAAATGCTTTTTTCCCCTCAATGTGGAAAAATAAAAGCAAAGAATGTTTATTTTTGGTAGCATTCCTGTATGTATAGATTTTAGATTAATTAATTTACCAAGGGTTTTTTTTCTATTGCTGACATTACCAGACTTATCCCAGTGTCATATTCCTATTGACTCTTTGGAACGATTAATTGCTGAAGGAAAGTTTTATATTAAAATGGTTTTAAAAAGCCAAAAATGTCATAAATGTCATTGATGTGAAAAGTTTAACTCAACAGTTCTTGGTTTTTTTCTTCCCCCAGTGCACACACAGCCAGTCACTTGTGTTGCCTGCAGTCCTACAGATGAGTCTCTGTTTCTCTCCTGTAGCCAAGTAAGATACTAATCAGCATGTTGTTTGCATTTTTGACAGTGAGGTTTATTTTTTGGACCACAGAGCTGCAATCATTCAGATAAACTCAACTACTTCTTCTTCTCACCCCTTCTTTAGGACAGCCGTGTGTTGTTGTGGGACAGGAGGAAGCCCAACAAACCTGCATCAAGAATAGGTAAGCTACGTCACCAAGCTTTGATAACCACTTTTGCCAAACACTACTGCAAGAATAGTCGAGATTTGGTAGAGCTTCACAGGAAATGAAGTATGATAGAGAGTAAAATTTGTTCCAAAACAAACAGTTATGTTTACATATTTATGCCAGTACACACACTATGCAGCAGTCATTCACTCTGCAAATGTATCTGTGCTAAAATAGGACTATGTACTAATACCTAGCAGGTAGAGACTATTGCACCTGCAATGGAGTTGATTCCTCCAAATACGCAGCCATTACCAAAGTAATCAATCCAAATCCAGAGCCTTAACTTTTCCCCCACATTTGAAGACTTTATCTGTCCTCCGAATGATGGATTTTGACACCTCCAAACCCATAAAGATGTGATTTCAGGACCATTATAGTAGTTTTCAGGTTTGTCCAGGAGTGGCTGCATAGGCAGAAACCACCCTCACTAACTTTAGATCCATATCCCATCATTTAGTACTATAAGCAGGCCTGAAATATGACAGAAACCTCTCAGTTCACAAAAGAGCTTTAAGGGTTACTTTCAAGGGGTAAAGAGTTATATAGAGTGCCTAATTACCTAATTAGCTACCTAGTGTTTGATTTTTGTCTGGATGATTAAAGAAGGAATTTGTCTTATTGTTCCTGGAATCTGTTTATAGGCTCTCTTGGAAATATGTCAGTGTCTATGCTGTACAGGATGTCCTGTGTAAGTAATGACAGATGGCAAGCGCATTCTCAGTTTCTGTTTTTGTTTTGCCTCAGATGTAGAGTCACCTAGCTGCTCCCCTACTTCTCTAGCTTGGCACCCTCACCACAGAAGCACCATTGCTTTTGGTAAGACGCTGCACTTGGTCACATTTGATTAAAAGCTGAGTTTAATTGAGAAAAAGTTGATTTCCTTTTTTTCTTTCACTCTCATCGTGTCTCAGGCGATGAGCTCGGCAGGGTGACTGTGAAAGATTTCCTGGGATCGGAGCCGTCTCAGGTGGAGAACGTTCACAGCCGTAGAGTTAATGGGCTGGCCTTCTCCACACACAGGTAAATGTAAAGTGTGTCACGATCTCACCTTTGGCTTTATTGCTCTTTTACAAAATTCTGACGTCTTCCTTTTCTTCCCAGCACACCCTTGCTAGCCTCTGTTAGTGATGACTGTAGCGTTGCTGTTATGGACTCTGAACTGCGAGAAATGTGAGTGCTTGTACTTCATGCTGAAAGCATTTACTTTGTTGTATTATTAAAAACACTAATCACATATTTGTTTGTAGACTCAGAGACCGGCGGCACCAGGACTATGTCAAAGGTGTGAGCTGGCTTCACAATGGCTCCTCCACCCTCACAACAGTAGGCTGGGATCATCTTGTGCTTCACCATAAAGTGGGTCCAGCTGATGGCATTCCCAGTTCCTCTTCTTAGACCGATCAGTTGGAAATGCACTGAAGGAAAGCACTGTTTTCCCCTCACTACTCTCCCCTCATTCCTGAGGTGTCATTTTGCAGAAATGAAAATCTATTGAAAGCTCTCACCTTAATTTAGCCCCCAAAAACCGCACAATATTGTGAATTCTGCTCTCCTAGTCATGGTTTTTGTGCATTACTAACATAGAGAGCATAAAATGGACCTAGTTACATAGTGATGAGCGTTTCTGCTGTCCCCATCTTGGTTGTAAAAAATGGACATTCTACAGAGGGGCAGGTCTGATCTAAAATGCTTAGTCATTGGCTAGTGACGCGATTGACACGTCGTTAGCCACTAAGTGAGCTATTGAAGGGTATAGGAGGAATTCTGTAGGAGAGTCTTTTTGCAACTGCAGCTTTCGCCCTTAGGTGGTCTTCACATCAAATGTAGGCTTATAGCACTTTGACTTCATTTGATTAATTTTTCTGACCAGATAGCTGCGTCCATATTTTTATTCTCTCTATGACTACTAATCACATCACAGCCTCACTATCCACTTCTTTCATACTGTATAGTTTGTCTTTGTGTAACTGCATCAAAGCAGCACATTTGTATTGCAGAATTTTACATTAAAGGTAACTTAATGTTATCAGTGGCATCATTTGGTGTGTTCTTTGTGTTTACTGAGATCAGATATGATAAACTGTTACTACTGTGAGGTAGTGGGAATAAGAGGAGTTTTCAAGGATACACAAAGTGCAGTCAATAAGTTCCTCTTCCCCGAAAAGCCATAAACCTTAACCCCCTCCTTCAAGGTCATGTCTTTATGCACCTCTGCACTGCTTCCAGCACTGCAGCTATTTTGGAGTTGATACTTGGAATTCCTGTTAAGCTTTTAACTTGGAAATTCATTTTGTGGAAAAGGACAATAGTAGAAGGAAATACAACTTGGTTGTGAGTGAAAGTTTTTAATTTGAAAAGAATGCTTACCCAGGATGTTACAGTACAACTGTGCACTGACAGTGATGGTGTTTTACCCAGTAAATATAGGGGGGGGGGAAACAGGACAAAAATGCTCGACCTCAGACCAACCACTCTTAAATCTTCCAGATCTAGAATGGTTCGCTTTGACGCAGAAGACATTTCAACACATGGGGTGGGACTTCAGTGAAGCCATCTAAAAATAAAAATAAATAGCAGAAGCAATGGCAGCCCCGGAGAAGCAATGAAGGAAACCATCTTGAGTAGCATAGTAGCTAAATTGAGTATGTTTCTTATTTTATTGGTGGAACTTTTTGATCACATGCCCTGTAATTATAAACCACTGTGTTGGTAAGGATGTGGCTGACGCAGACCCCAGTCATTCACTAACAGTGTCAATGTGAGGTCTGATGTAGATAATAATGATCTATAACTTTTGGTACATTTAAGGCCTTTCATGGAGGTCTGTTGAATTACATGTGCTTTGATGTGTTTTGGTTATTTGCGTCAACAACCACAAAAAACGCCTAATAATTAAATCTAAATTTCTTCGTTAGCAGAATCTTGGAATTATTTGGAATTAATTGTGTGATGCTACTTGGGACAATTCTTAGGAGGGGAAAAAAAACTTAAACCAGTTCTTCAGCTAGCTTATATCTTACTTTAATACAAAAAAATCTGTTTGCACACAAGCTCCTACATGATCTGGAGTTGGCACACAGGTTCTTTATGGGGCCCTGACGATTCTAGTTTATATAAAATATTATGAGGTCATCATGTTGCCTAGCAGCCACCTGACAATGTGGCACAATGACACATTTGTAGCTTTTATGCACCTACAAGAGCCTTATAAAAGTATTGTATCATTTTAATTTCACAACAGTAACACATAATTTATATCCCAAAAACTAAGCATGACATATTACAATGATGTCACACTGTCTAGCAACCACCTAACAACAAACTAAACAATACTGTACCCTGGGAATTTACCAGTATATTAAATCTGCACTTACATTCTGAGCCACAGCTAAAAGCTTTAATTACTAGGATGATGCAAATCACTGCAGTGTTTTTACATACAATTGAGTACACATGCAAGCCATGTGTACTCAGCAATTTGTTACATTTATTTCCTACTTAGAGTTGAATGTCTTAATTTGATGACTTTCTATATACAACTTTAACATGTACATATAACTACATCTTGCAATGTCCAAATGTGATTTTCATATTATACAAATTGATATCTCCATGAATAACAATGTATACGTAACTAGATTAACACTCTTTATCGTAGTAGTATAGAAAATCCAATACAAACCATAAAGGATTTTTTGGGATAAATGTGAGAATCACACTAGACCCCTACTACTCTGCGCCATAAGACTTTCATAATCGAGATGTAACAGTGAAAGAACATTTCCCATTATTTGGCAGGTAATTACAGCATGAAATAATAACAGTTATGCTCCAAATTACTATATTTTACAATTAAAATTTCTCATTGTTTTATAAAAGACTTTTTAAAAACTTAACTTTTTTTATTTGAATATTAATGGAGTTTTCCTATACAATAACATTACCCAAATCTATGGTTAAAAAGTCAACATATAGCAAAATATAGCTTAAGACTAAATAATTAGCAGCAACTACACAAATGTTTAAAACGTTCTTTCTGACTGTGACACAATGGAAAAGAAAACACCATTTGACAGTGACTGTGTCGTGTTTGTCTTTATGATTCGGCAGTCCTTTGTCAACAGGCATTCTTAACATATTTGCTACCCAGTGTGTAAATAACCTGTGTGAAGCCTTCTTTTTCAGCTGTGGTCCACACTGCTGCTGATAAAAGTGTAGCTTCACACACGTTGTGTCCCATAGTCTGTGTTGAAGGTCTCAACATGTCCAAGAATCGAAAGACCCTTAATAATGTCTGCTACTCATGATAAGTAATAGGATTTTTGGTTCCAGGCCGAACTGTGAAAGTCATACCATGTTGATATTTAGACTTTGGCCCATTGCTGAAAAGAAGAACATTTTATGTATGAATATATTAGCCAACCAGTGAGTTTTGGCATCTTAAAAAGTCAATGTGTGACATTTGAGCATGACAGTCTTACCTGGTCAAAGCTTTTGTTGGCGAATTATCTGGATATTTTTTGTTCACTTTACGCTGCAGCTCCCTCATGTCCAGAGTTGCTGCTTTCTGGTGATATTTGGTAGTTGGTGATTTGAGCTGGTCATTGGACTCCCATTCATCAGAGGAAGGCTCTACATCTTCCTTTTGGTGGGAAATTTTGGGGGCCATTTCCTCCAGCTTCTTTTTTAGGATGCACTGGAGATCAAAATGTCTTTGTTCCAGAGTGCGTGCTGGCTGAGTGGAGTCTGGCTTGGGTTTTGTCTGGACTTGTGTCTTTGGTTGGACATTAGGAGGTGGGTGGTTCAGAGGAGGAGGAGGAGGTGGAATTGAAGCTGGAGGTGCTGTATTCAGAGGAGGAGGTGGAACTGAAGCTGGAGGTGCTGTCTTCAGAGGAGGAGGTGGAATTGAAGCTGCAGGTGCTGTCTTCAGAGGAGGAGGTGGAACTGAAGCTGGAGGTGCTGTCTTCAGAGGAGGAGGTGGAATTGAGTGGAGGTGGGTGGTTCAGAGGAGGAGGAGGAGGTGGAATTGAAGCTGGAGGTGCTGTATTCAGAGGAGGAGGTGGAATTGAAGCTGGAGGTGCTGTCTTCAGAGGAGGAGGTGGAATTGAAGCTGGAGGTGCTGTCTTCAGAGGAGGAGGTGGAATTGAAGCTGGAGGTGCTGTCTTCAGAGGAGGAGGTGGCACTGAAGAGGGAGGACCTGCAGAGGGTTGTGTCTTATTCAAAGGATACTGAACTGAGGCAGGGGAAAGAGAGGTTACAGGTGGTGACGGTGCCTTTTTTGTGGGAGGGTCCGGTGGAATGATGGAAGGTGGCAGGTCCATAATCTTGCTTAAATCATCAAACTCTGGTGGTGGAGGCAGTAATGGCATGCTGAACCCATCTTTATTGCCCTCAGGTTGTGGAGTCTGAGACAGTGAGCTGCTTTGATATGCCTTTTGTCTCTCCTCTGCTTTTTTGCTAACAGCAGGGGTTTCTATGATCCTGTTGAGAGCTGGACTGGTAGATGGTGCCTGACCATTGACCAGGGCATGACTGCTTGAAGTTTCAGGAGCATCATTTGTTTGTGGACGGTCTACTGGACTGAAGGATTTTGGAGTTTCTGGTAATATTTTTTCTGTCAGTTTTACAGTTGAAGAGCCAGAACTTGAAAGGTCACTTGAGTGAATACTTGGCTGCTCATTGTTCTTTCCACTGTTTTCCTGTGAAACAGAGTGCGTCGTTCTGTTTTTCTCTCTTTCTTTAGCTGCCTTTAGAAGAGCCAGCGGAGAAGCTGCATGCCCGTCTCGTGCTCCGTGGGTTTCACTTCCTTTCAGGTTACGTAGTTTGTGATCCAATATCGGACTGTATTTCTGGTTTGGATTTTGATACCGTACAGGTTTGACTGGGGTTGGACTTTGGTACTCTCCAGGTTTGACTGGGGCTGGACTTTGGTACTCTCTAGGATTTTCTGCTTTTGGACTTTCTGCTTTTGGACCTTGGTTCTCTCCAAGTTTGTCCTTGCTTGTCTCTAAATTAATCTGAGTATTGTCAACTTCATCAAGCTGTAGAGACTTCTGAGGCGGTGGCTGTACTGGTTTGGTTATTTCTGGTTGCACTGAAATTGTCTCTGTTTTAGCCTTTGTCTTAGTCTCTGTCTTAGTCACTGTCTTTTGCTCAAATAGGGTAGATTCAGAAGGTTGGGCAACTTGTAAATTCTCCTCCAGCTCCTTTACAATGGGAACTGGTTTAGATAGTGTAGGCACTTTGGGAGCATTACCGTCCACCTTGACGAGAACAGGGCCAGAGCTGGAAGACCCGGAATCTTCCAGGAGTAACATGTGCTTAGGTTTTTTGTCACGGTCTTCAAACACATTGAGAAATGAGGTCTTAGGAGCAGTGTTAACCTTTGCTGTGTTTTGGGGATTGAAAGTGGACAATGTGGGTGTCTGCACAGGGGGTGGTGGTGCAGGAGTCTGTGGGGGGGAGTCAGAGTTGGAGACTGAGGAAATTCTAATGGGCTTTGGAGGAGGTTTCTTCTGAGTCTTCTGTTGCCTTTCAGTAGGGGGCTGTGGGGCGGCAAATTTTGGATGCTCTGGAACTTGAGCTGATGGTGGACTAGAGATGGGTATGGATGATGGAGAGCCAGTAGAAGTGGTAGATGGAGGCTTTGGTGGAGCCATTGGTGGTGGTTTTAGGAAGGATAAATCCTTTGGTTCTACTGAAGGAGGGTTTGGTGCGGGCATGGAAGGAGGCTGTATGGTTGCTAGGTCTAGAGTGTTTAAGTCACCCAGGAAGTCTGGTGGAGGTGGAATCCATTCACTTGGAGGTGGTGGAGGTGCTACAGAAGGAGGAGGAGGAACAAATATTTCCCCTTTATCAAGGTTAGGCACTGAAGTAATGGAGCCATTGGACAACGGATCCCAACCAACTGTGGATGAGAAGACAGGACAAATGAGAAAGGTTTTTGCAGAAACAGACACAGTATTCAAATATGCAAACTTGCTGCATAAATAAGAGACTAAAATTGAAATCCGTCTGTTTCATTTAAAGAGTGCAATTCATTTGTGCATATAATATGCAATAATAAGAATATTATTAAAGAGGCAGAAACGATTATAAAGAATAAGAAAATTCTTTATAAAGCTTTAAATTCAGCTTTCTTACATAAATTTAGAATTGTTAAAAAAGGAAATAAAAGAAGTAAATGGTTTCCACTTATTATTGAGAATGCTAACACTCCCATTATGTAAATATATTTGGCATCTGGTATGACCGTTTGGACATTTTCAGGGGGAGTTATTGAGCAATGCCCGAGCAAACATTAACCTGCCCTCCTTTTTTTCCTCTTTATTTTGATTGCTGTGATCCATCAACCGAGTCTGAGCAAAAGCCCCACAAGTTATGTGGACTTTTTAGGGTCTAATTAATGGGATTCTTGCCTTTTAGTCAAGTTAAACCTAAAGTACATATTGGAAGGTAGCTAGATGCTCACCTGAACCGTTGGTCTTTGGACCATTGACAGGGGGCAGGAGAGGGACTTTCGGCATTGGGACAGCAAAGCCTTGGAAACTCTCAGACAAGGACTGCGAGGGAAGAAAATTAAACACCATCAGACTTGATTTTTCAAACCTCTTAACACAAGAGACAAAGATCAACAGTAAAATTGAGATAAGGCTATATAAGGCCTGTATGTACAGAGACTTTTGTCTGGCAAGTATTTGGTCTTGAGGTGCACAAACCAGTTCTCAACTATATCAGCTCTCAGTGTTCCTTGAAAACAGGTTGGCCTGTCCAATGCTTGCAGCATTTTTAGCGTCAGCAGAACTGAAGTAGCTGCCAAAATCATTTCAATGAGCTGTTACGTGAAAATTCTATGATGGTGGTTTACGGTGCCTTATGTTCACAAAATTAAGTACTAAATATGTCAGACTGCTTTGCAGCAACTTAGGTACATGTCTAACCTTTAGGCTTCTTCAACATAAAACAGCTAGAGGTTTAAAAAAATAAAAGAAAACACGTTTGCATACTTGAGTGATGAGAAATATTTGGTGAATCAGAGGATACACCTATTATTCATCACATTGTCTAAGATGGGCCTGGCTGAGAAAACTGCGTGTTACTTAGATACATGGGTGTTTTATGTTGTAGGCAAGAGGGGCAAAATAGAGGAAGAGTTATGGAAAGTACGTTGCTGTTCTCTCTACGACACCAAATAAATAGAGACTGTGTTGACACAATACAAATCTAAGAAACTTGGAAAGTTATATGTCCTTAAAATGGGCAGATATTCAGTCCAGGAATACATAACAGCTGTATCCTTTTGATCTTAGTCTGCTGCAGACCATTTGAGGAGGAAAGCAACAAGGAAATTTTTAACTGGACTCAATTTATGCCCTAAGAGCTCCCCTTATACCACGTTTCAGCCATGCTGATTGTATGCAGTAATGAATTAAATCAGCATCAATAGATAAGAATAAAAATCTTCAGTTTCAGGCAGCTGCCGTCCTAAAAGCTATATCACACCTTGAATAACACCCTCTTTTGCTAATAATCCCAGTTGCGTAGCTATTTGGAAAGGTATGAAAACTGCATCACGGAGCGAGGGCGTGCCATTAAAGACAGCGTATGATCCAGTTTGATTCCATCTCGCCTTTTCTCCGCGCTATGACTCACGTTCATCTGTCGCAGCGCTCAGAGCTGTCCTGCCCATGTGCTGCAGGGTGTGCCGCATCCACATGCCACAGACACATTCACAGAACACTCCCAGAAAACACTGAGCTGAGGTGTGTGAACCAAGTGCTCAGATGAGCTTTGCATTTTTGTCTGCAACATGACAATGCAATGGGAGACTTTAAGTGCAAGACTAAATTGTAATTGACTTGCTCTAATGTCTTATGGCAACTTTGGCAGCTGTAGCTTTTGTGCGCAGTGTGATGTGACCTGCAGAAGATCATTGATCATGTTTTCTGCAAATTACCTGTTGTGACAGCATCGCTGTGAGATATGTCGTTTTTTTATAGTCATATTTCATGTCATTCTAAAAAAAGAAATGAGCATTATCCCTCCCACATGAGATACTGGAAGAAAATAAGTCGAGATCTCTCTGTGGAGACTTTTACTGTGCGGACCACGTCACACATCAGATTGCACGAGTAAATAAACTCTTTAAACACTAAACTGTCAGCTATCAGTTCATTTGCATCTGCAGGCGCAGGGTTTGAGACTGAATAAAATGGTGGAGCTGTTCACATGCAAATCTTATTCATTAAATTCCATTTTATGTAGTGTCAAATCACAACAGTTGCCCAAAAGGGCTTTACATTGTAAGGTAAAGACCCGACAATAATACAGGGAAAACCCCAGTAATCAGATGACCCCCTATTAGCAAGTAGTTGGTGTCAGTGGGAAGGAAAAACTCCCTTTTAACAGGAAGAAGCCTCTGGCAGGCTCTGAGAGAGGCAGCCATCTGCTGTGACTGATTATGGTGAGGGTAGAGAGACAGGAGACACGTAAAACATGTCATTTCAATTTCAGAAACTGGGTAATGAACGTAAAAATTGATGTGAACCACATGGTTTCACAGAGATACTCACAGCACCATGCTTCACTGTGGGTCTAGCTCGCACACTTGCAGTCCCTGACTCATGAGTTGCAGATGACCCCAGGACCAACTCTACATTGTCTGTGAAAAAGAAAAAAGTAGATCATTAATATCCAGCGGGCCTCTGGTAGCAAAGCAAGTTCAATTGAATTGATTCAGCTATTAAATTACTAATCAAATCTCCATCATTAATCTGCCAGTCAAGGCCAAAACAATGATGTTGTACACTTGCAGTGTGCAGGTAATGAGATACTGTGTGCATCCAAGTGTCCTCTAAGTAGCTGTCAGTCAGCCTAATAATCTGCTGTGTGGCCGTTGGTTGTTGACAACAAAATAGCTATGCACAACTGAGCCGATGATTGCAGTCTTTATTTAAAGTCCACCATTGTGTTTAAGGGAAAACAGTTATGGTGCCAACTGAAATCCAGTGCACCACCTTCTGCTTGCTGTACAACACCACAATGTTTATCATATAGCCAGACGTAAATAGTTTATCTGTCGCAAAGCCTGGAAGAATGAATTCAAGGTTTATTCTTGGGGAAAAAACTCGCTTTAACTGTGTTCACTCTTTGAGAGGAGCTTCATAACATGCAGCCAAATGTTGCTGCTTTTATGTTGCATAACCCTTTGTTCTTTAAACAAACAGTGCCACACAATGATCGTCCATTCTTAAGTCAAAGTGGTTAAGAGACCAGTCGCATTTGTCTTTCATGTCAGTGGAAAAGCCTGGTTTTTCTGTATGTATCTAAGTCATGGGATGACACAAGACACTCAATGATGACTTAAAAGTGCACCGAGGAAGAGACCCGAAACATGACCATAGTCATTTTCAGATGTGGAAGACAAGCAATAACATTCCTGGGAAACTGATGATTTGAGAACGTAAACCTAGAAGTCACACCTTTGTTCCAGTATGACACTGACTGCTGAAAGACACTTGCCACTTGAAGATTCTTACTCTATGTGTTCATTTAGCTTTCTATTACAAAAGCAGACACAAGAAGCAGCGTGATAGAGGAGCCTGTCATAATAGACAAGGAAAGGGAACTGTTATTCCCAGTAGTCACAGGGTGTAGGTCCTCATAGCTTTTATGCACTTCTGTGTCATTTCAGAAAAATGTGGGAACTACAGAATGAATTGGCTGCGGTATTAAACCAGTCTAAGCAAATGATTCGTTTTTCCTATTGCGCCCCTTTCTGATTTAAATAGGCAAATGATCTCTCCTGTGTTGCAGCTTTGCATAGAAATTGCCCTCTCCTTTTCTGCTTTCACTAGTCAAATTCCACTAATGTCACTTAGAGCTTATCAGTAAACTGATATCAGTGTGTGAAAGTAATATTTTTATTATTAAGCTATTAACTTGTGTTTCCTTTTTTTTAAGGCTTTAAACTGCATCACACACTCTTGCTCAGCAGATGGAGCTTGCCCAGCTGTTGTACTATGGAAATATGCTGTTATGCATTGTTGTGGCCAGAAGAGTGAATTTGTTTGTGTCAGGTAAATAAAAGTACCGGTAACAGATTTCTGTTTTCATCTATAACACCGTGGATTGTATGTCTAAGAGTAGCTGACTCATATGAAATACACCCAAGGTACACATTTAGCTATTCTAGATGAAAACTTCAGTTTTGTCTGAGAAATCTTAACTTGGATCAAAGTGAACACAGTCTGAAGAGGACCCAGACTCTTGGATTTAAAATATGGATTTACTTTTGTTAAAAACACCGAACAAAATTCATAGATGACACCTGCTGCTACTTGTTTAAAGCACCTGAAGGATTCACTCCTATCAGCACGTCTAAAGTTTGGAGCTTGGTGGAAACATATGTGTCCTATTGCAACACCAAGTCCAAAGGTCGTGCTGCTCTTCGCTGTAGGCGTAGATACCTGCTCTTATAAACAGACCGTACTAGACTCTACTCACCCATCTCCTGCATTTTGACATTGGTGTCGAAAAGAGAATGATTCTTTCGACCCAGAAAATTCAGCGACCCCTTCTTCATTGTTATTGATTAGTTGATGCGTAGCTACGATTCTCGGCTTCAGCGGATCATTGGCGCATTCTCGCCGGCAGGTAAATCCGGGATAAACCGCAAACGTGCTGCTCTGAATGACGGCGTTTCTCCAGGTACACCTGACTCCAGTGATTTGGTGCAAACTTCTCAGACAGACAGAGAAAATGGAGCAAACCCCGCCCACTCGCCTTTCATTGTGCCTCCCTGTTTCTGACTGTACAGCAGCAGCAGGTGAGGCCCTCGGCTCTCCTTACATTCCAGCGCAAACCTCACCTGTGGAAAGAATCAGGTCCTTTAATCACAGGTTTGCTTACGTTAATGGCCTGTACTCTCACTGTTTGATGAGTCTGCCATCCGCATCCGAGCTTTAGCGCACTGGTCTACCTGTATCTCTAAATCTGGGACGAAGTGATCACATTAAAATGCTCAGGAACGCGGGTGAACTTTAATAGCATCTTAATCAAAAAAGACAACAGGGGTTTATTGCATGTAGGTCACTGCTATTATGGTCATAAATGTAAACAAAGAGTAAAATAAAACAAAGCATGTGAACACGTCGAAACATTTTAGTATCCTATTTTTATTTTATTTTATTTTTTGCTTATGCTTAAAAATTTGATCCAAGAAATGTATGAACCTAATAATGAGATTGTAAAGTGTGCTTGATTAAATCATTCAAAATGAATTAAAAGCCACAACATTAAATAAACTGGTTCTCTTTAAGGATGTAGACTACTGAAAGGGCTCCTTCTATCTCCCGGTGATTTTACATTTAATAGAGTACATTTTGCTGATTGCACTTGTCACGGTTCTGGGTCAGTTTCGACCCAGTATTTTGAGTTTTAATTGATTAGTTTATTTTTGAATGTTTATTGTGGTTTTGGGCGCTATGAGTATTATTATTATAATGATTATTATTATTAGAATTCTATGTTTCTGTTTATTCATGTTTAAGGATTTGTTCTCGGTTGTATCTCACGTTTAGTTTAGTTCAAGTTTCATGTGTCATTCTGTCTGTCTGTCTCTCAGTGTCAGGTCTGCGTCTTGGTGTAGTGTTCTCGTTTCCTGTTTTATTGTGAAGGCCTGCGTCTCATGTGAGTGTGTTCAGTCTTACCTCTGTCTCGTCTTGTTGATTATTCCCAGCTGTGTCCACCACCTGTGTGTGATTCCCCTGTGTTTCTCTGTGTGTATTTAAGTCGTGTCCTCTGTCGTTGTAGTTGCTGGTCCGTCTGTGTGTTCCACCATGTTTCATCCGTGTGTTCCCTGCCGTCACCATCTTGTACCGGCGTCCACCTTGCTTCAGGTTCATGTTCGTGTTCATGCTCTGTTGTTTAGTTGTCCCAGTATAGTTTAGTTCTCCGTTTTGTCGTTTGCCTCTCTATATTTTTGTGTCAATAAATCACCTTCAGACCTTCACGACTGCCTGCGCTTGGATCCTCTTTTTCCTTTTTTTTCACACGGCTCTTCTCACTCGCCGTGACAGCACTTTTGCTTGAGTACCATTTCACCTGCAACGGGGTATTTTATAGTGTGCTGTTGCTGCTTTTATGTACATGATTAATTATTTCCCTATCTGTGTGACTTGCATGTGCACCTAAAACAATTGTTATGACATATGAATATAGTTTAAAGTCTGAAAAATAAAATAAAACCAATTATCAAAGTAAAACCATTGTTTATGGTAACCTTCCTTTTTAGATCAAACATTCTAGAAGAGCAGCTATTAAAAAGTTAGGCCTAACTGACTGTTTACAAAGGAATGGTTTATTTGAAGAGTTTCACAGAAACGGCACTAGTGAAGGTTACAAGTGATCTTTTTACATCCTTTCATAATGGACTCATCTCTGTGCTTGCCCTGGTAGATCTCAGTGCAGTGTTCAGTACCAGTACTGACCATAAAACGCTACTACTGAGATTAGAACACACACTTGGTATTAAAGGAACTGCGCTGCAGTGGCCTGAATTTAATCTGGCTGATAGATAACTATATACGTTTTCATGGCTATGCAGATGATATCCAGCTTTATCTATGCATGAAGTTTCGTCTTGATGCATTCTCAATCATCCGGGAAAGTAAATCTCCAAAAAGTTGATTCTGTTCATCTGGACGTAGTGTTTTGTGGGAGAAATGTTTTGTCACTCATCCAAGTGACTTCTTCAGTCTCAGCTGACTGCAGGTTTCCCCAATCTTATAAACAGTACAATTGCATAATGACTGAAACCAGCCAACTGAAGGAACAATGGGCTGGATGGTCAGTTCTATAATCTTAATTATGCAAATTCTCATGACCATTGATCAACAACCACTGACCAAAACCCACTGATCAAAGACCACTGATCAATGGCCATGAGATGAAACGTTTGTCCCACAAAACGCTACGTCCAGATGAACAGAATCAACTTTTTGGAGATATGCAATGAAGTTGATACACGTCAACTAATTAAACTTCAGGCCTGTCTTGAAAACATAAAAACCTTGATAGCCTATAATTTCCTGCTTCTAAATTTAAACAAAATTGAGGTCGCTGTACTCTGCCTTACTTTAAAAAATATTACCTTTGCCTTCAATACCACTGTGAGGAAACTTGGAGTAATTTATGACCAGGATATTTGGTTCAGTGAGCACATTATACAAATATGTAGAACTGCCTTCATTCTGTTGCGCAGTATGTCTAAAATTAGAAACATCCTGTCTCAGAGTGATGCTGAAAAACTAGTTTTATGTATTTATTACTGGTAGGCTGCACAATTGTTGATTATTCTCCCATATTGACTTAACTTCACTACTGGATTTCTCTTACATTCAGAATCAAATTTAGAATCCTTGTCTTCAGATAAAAATTCTTGAATAATCAGGTGCCATCATATCTTAAAGACCTCACAGTAGCTTATTCTCTTGTTGTTGTTCTTTTCTGCTGGTGGTAGGAGTTTTTTTTTTTTTTCTTCTCCCCACTGTCACAAAGTGCTTGCTCGTAGGGGCTTGTCTAATTGCTCTGTTAGCAGGGGTGTCAAAATCATTTTACATTGTAGGCCACATACAGCACATGATGATCTCATGTGAGCTGGACCAGTGAAACTCCTCTTTCTGCCAGTGTACAGAAATTTAAGCAGATATCCCTAAGATATCTTAAAATTAAAAAGAAGTCCTATTTCAATAGTATCTCTTCCTTTTTCCTTCCTTCCATTTTTTTTTTCAAGATTCAAAGTGTTTATTGTCATGTGTACAGAAGAAATAGCATTTCTCTGTGCAATGAAATTCTTTCTTTGCTGTCCATACACAAATGCCAAGTTAGGTAGGGTTGAAGGAACAACATAATTAAGGATAAAAAAATAAGACAAGATATTAAGATAAATAAGGTAAAAAAGGATTAAATAAAATAGTGAAAGATAAATAAGTAAAAAAATAAGTAAATGAAGACAAGTGAGTTAAGCAGTTGTTAATGTCAAAGGATATACAAAGGAGCTTAATGTGCAAAGTGAACTTAGTGTGCAAATTGTCCTGATGTGCAAATTGCAGTTGAGGTAGGTCAGCTGTTCAGGAGTCTGATAGCAGTTGGGAAGAAGGAGTAAATAAAATAAATCTGTCAGCACAACGTTTTGGACTTAAATTGTAAGAATAACTTTTACTACATAAATAAAACCAAACTGCACTGAACTGAAATCATAAAAAAAAAAAAAATTCTTCATTCCTGTTTCAGTCACATTGGTGATCCAGTCAGAGAGTGACTGAAGAAAGACATTTGTCACTTAAAGATTCTTACTCTATGTGTTCATTCAGCTTTCTGTTAGACAAGCTGAGACAGGAACCAGAGTGACAGACGAGCCTGCCATAAAAAACAAGGAAAGAAAAACATATTTCCATCACAAGGTATCATAATGTCCTCATAGTTTCCACTTTGAAGCAAAAATGTGTCACATGTGATTTACAGGTAGACCTAAAATACATTTCTGACATAGAAATATAAAACAAACATTATTAAAGAACAACATAAATCACAGTAATTGAAGTTTTAAAAATGCTATGGTGTGTGGAAGCTAAAATAAAGTCTAATATAGATAAAGCAAAGATATGATGGCACTATAACGTGTTGTAAAAGTAATCAACTTTTTCTCTCCATTAATGTATGCAAGGTGCTTGAACAAAACAAATCACAGGAGTTATATTCAACCCTCTGGATAATTGTTCAGTTAGCTATTAGCTCACGTTGGAACATTACATTTGTGTGATAAATGCATGTTTTTAATCTTAAATAAATCTTTGATATTACTGAAGGAAAACCTTCATTCCTTGGTGTGACTTTCTTGAGGATAGTGAAGGATGAGAAACGTGGAAGCAGGATACTCATAAATTTGATTTTGGCTAAAAGGGGTCAAAAGTCTTAAACAGATGAGCTAACCCCTTAAAGTAACCCTGTAACAGCATTTTATCTACTCTGCATCAACAGTTTAACCTTTGTGTGGTGTTCGTATTTTTGTTACTCAGCCAGTGTTCATGGGTCTGGTGGACCCGCTAGAGTTTTGGCTTTCCAAATTAACACTATCAAACAATTTTATGTTAAATTACTCAACAGATGTTTACTTCATCCCAATTACAAGACATATGAACAGCAAACATGGTTAATTTTTTCCCTTTACCTTTGTTAGATCACATTTATGAATTAATGTGCTTCTCGTTTTTCTTTTATATAAAATGTTATAAATAAATCAGTTATAATCAAGTGGAGTGAGTGGAAAGACACAACACATTTACACGTGAAAAAATAATTAATTGTTTAATTTTTCTTTTGAAAAAAACTGAACACGGGTCTCACAGACCCGAACACCATACAAGGGTTAACAACAATTTGGGGTTGATTACAGCTGGTAGCAGAGTAATAATTTGTAGAAGTATGTTTCCTTTACACTGAAATTCAGTTTTATAAAACACTTTATACTTTTTACTTTGTATTTCATAACATTTTAGAAGGATTTAATTTGTGGTGCTCATATAGTCAATTCAAAGCTGCAGTTACTCGTTGTTATTAATATACTGTGTTATCAGTATATTAATAATGTACTTGATTGGTCTAAAGTGCATTATAGTAAACTCACTCCAGTAAGCTTAAAAATGGAGAAATTATAATGAGTAAACATAAAATTCTTGATAAAAATATTCTGATTTTCTGACAATA